CAGCAATCATTATTATATTAGAGACCACCATGCAAAACATCCAACTTAGAGACCAGAGGAGCAGACCTCACTTATGATCACTAGATGTATTTTACTAGGGCTGCTGAAATGGTGTAACACGACCCTGGGGCAGGAGTTGAGGGGTGGGGTGGGGTGGGGAAGGCAGTAATCAAAGGCTAGAAGTCCAGAAGTCCAAAATGAAGTGTCAACAGGATTGAATCCTGGGTTGTTAGGAAAGGATCTGTTCTGGGCCTCCCTGCTTGACTTGCAGATGACCACTTCCATATTCACATAGCATTCTCCCTGCATGTGTGGGTCCAAAAGCCCCTGAAACAAACTAGAGGGGTGGGATGGGGCAGAAGATGGGAGGGAGGTTCAAGAGGGAGGGGACATGTGTATACCCATGGCTGATTCATGCTGATGTATGGCAGAAATCACAACAATATTATAAAGCAATTATCCTCCAATTAAAGATAAAAATTTTTAAAAAGGACACCAGCATGTTGGATTAGCATGTGTGTGTTCAGTCACTTCAGTTGTCTGACTCTTTGCAACCCCATGGACTGTAACCCACCAGGCTCCTCTGTCCATGGGATTCTCCAGGCAAGAATAATGGAGCGGGTTGCCATTCCCTCTGCCGGGGGATCTTACCAACCTAGGGATTGAACCTGTGTCTCCTACGACTTCTGCATTGCAGATGGATTCTTTACTGCTGAGCCACCAGGGAAGCCCCATATTGAGTTAGGGTTCACCCTAATTTTACCTTAGTTTAACTTTATTATCTGTATAAAAACTGTCTCCAAAGAAGGTCACATCCTGAGGTACTGGGATTTAGGACTTAAGTATATCTGTGGGAAGGGGTATACAGTTCAACCCATAACATGACTGGCATGAGAGAACACATCTTTTTAACTTTATTTTTTAATTGGAGGCTAATTACAATATTTGGTGGTTTCTGCCATACATTGACATGAATCAGCCATGGGTGTACATGTGTCCATGGGATTCTCCAGGCAAGAATACTGGAGTGGGTTGCCAGGCTCTCCTCCAGGGGATCTTCCTGACCCAGGGATCGAACCCACACCTCTTGCAAAACATCTCCTGCACTGACAGGCGGGTTCTTTACCACTAGCACCATCTGGGAAGTGTCATGTAGAGGTAGGGAGGTAGGTAAATCAGAAACAGCCAGTGAAATAACAGGTTAAATTAATAGTCTCCATGGTGAGACATTATTCTTGAAGAAGAATGTTTTATGATTATGCTCCAGGAAGAGAAAGTAATTTGTATTTGTTTATTCTACTCCAAATGTAATTTTGAAAAATTCAAGCACAGAAATTTCAGTTCCCCTGTAATAGGAGAAAACAGTGTCTGCTAGGTATATATAAGGACTTTTGAAAATAGATTGTCCTGTTGATTTTTATTCTAAGATTATAAAAATAGTTTTATGCCCTTTGGTATGTCTGGACCAGTATTTTCCAAACTCTCAAGATGCTGTTACATATTATTGTAGATATTGTGGGGGAAATTGTCATCTCTAGATTACATGTAATGCCTAACAGAATGTAAATGCTATGTAAATCACTGTAAATACAAAGTAGTTCTATGTAAATAGTTACCAATGAAGCAAATTCAACTTTTGCTTTTTGGAACTTTCTGAAATTTTTTTCAAATATTTTCTAACTACTGTGGGTTGAATTGAAACCAAGTATGGAACCTGTGGATATAGAAGGCCGATCACACTTAGCTAAAAGTGTTCCTGAGCCAGCAGAGACATATGCTCCTTGATAAGGAATAATCAGCACAAAATTCCCTGAGTTTATAGGGGAAATCTCAGAGATGTTGAGGGAAGCTGGTCTGACACCAGCGTCAGCCTCAGCCTCAGTGAGAACATGGGGGCAGAATTCTTCCCTGCAATTGTAACACATGAATGAAGTCAGCTTGTTGACACCTGCCAGATCATCTGACGTCACTGCAACTGGTTTTGGGGATTTTTAGTCAGGACACCTGCCTCCTTGCTCCCCTACCTGCTGAGAACCCTGGCCCACATCTATAAGGGAGGCTGGCTGCCCCCACTCTACTCCCACTTGCCTGCCTCAAACAACCCAAAGAAGCTGGAGAGAAGGGGCACCAGCAAACCCTTCAGGCCAAGGCCAGGAGGGAGAGCGAGAAGCCCTGTCCTGATAAGTAGGAGGACCACAAGGAAGAGAACGAGGCCTCCTGGAGAGATCCACCGGTAGGATAGAAGAAAGGGAAGAAAACTGAGATCGAGGGGCTTCGAATAACATGCCCAAATTCACACAGCTAGTAGCAGACCTGGATTCAGGTCTCCATTTATCACTGTGGTCTAGCCACTGCTTCACAACTGCAAAAATCAAAATTGTTGGAGGGTGAGACAGCAAGACAAAGTGTTTAAGAAGAGGGTTCTCCCAGGGCAGGGTAGACAACAAAACCCTTTCAGGTCACTCCCTATAAAAAGGCCCCATATAGTCCACTTCTATTCTCAGAAAGCTAAGGCCAAAAATGCTCAACCTTTAATTGGCATTTGCAACATAGCTAGGAAATAGGGTGATTTTCTGACACAGGATATCATGGCCTTCAGCCTAGTGACCATTCTTTGAGCTCCTCTCTCTTTCCCCACAGTAGAGAGAGAATTTGATGGTGATGGTGACAGTGATGGCTGTTTCCTTCACATGTGCTCTCGATCAGAAAATCATCTCTACTTATCAACCTGCTGACATGAGTACACAGTACTAGTTTCATTTTCCAATCCTGTGTGAAAATGTCTTAAGACAGAAAAACAGAGATAGAAGAAAAAGGGCAAGTAAATAAAAATCAACCTTTGCCCTAAAACCACCTCCAACAGAGCTTCCCAATCTCTGAAGTGCATAGGGATTACCTGCACTTGTTCAAATGCAGGATTTTCTTGGGCAGACCTGGGGTGGGGACCTGAGGGTCTGCATTTCTAACATGCTCCCAAGTGAAGACAATGCTGATGATCCTCAGACCATGCTAAGAATTATACAGAAAAATGTTTGGCCTTTCCGTCTGTTAGATGATGGCCCCAGATCAAACATTTTCACTGTTTGATTAACTGTTATTCTCCTGACATATTTCCTCATGTCACAGCACTAATTTAGCCAATCAGATTTTACATCTAAGTGTGCAGCAAACCAGTTGTCTTTTTATTTAAAAAAGCAAAGGTTACCCTTCCTTAATCTTTCAAAATCTTTCTTAGTGACATGGCAAATTTATTAAACATTTTCTCCCACACTGTTGACACGGCTCAGTTTTACTTATTCGTAAAATTGCTACAATACTTTAAGCAAGCAGGATTTTCTTGAAAAAAAAAAATATAGAGTACACCTTTTGGCATTTGGAAGGAAAAAAGGAATACTCACAAAATAATTATATATTTTTAAATGAAATTTATTTTTCCCCTGGGAATGAAAATCCTATGCTGAAAATGTTTCAAAATTAAAGTGCTTAGTTATATCAATCTAAAGCCAGTTTTGCTATTAGGTTACTAGGTTTATTTAGAGACTTTTCTATCAATTTTAATATTTCCATTTATTTAACTTCTAAATTTACAAACTATTCATTTAAATACCCATAAACTCTTGTTGAAAGAAGCATATGTATTAGTTAAAACTAACCAAAAATAAAGACATTTAAAAAGAAAAAAAAAAAGTGTTTGTTTTCAATATTTATACAAAGAAAAAGCTATTTTAAAACAATCATATTTTCCAATGCTTGCTTATTTATGTTAGTGTGCAAATGTGAATAATTAATACCATTCAATTAGTTAACTAAAAAATTGAAAATTTAGGAAATCCAACTATAGTTAAGATAGTCAATTTATCTAAAGCATTAAAAATAAAACAGTGAATTTTAAGTACACTGGATAATTAGAAAGCAAAAATGAATACTAGCAACATAGAACTCAGTAACTAGACAATACTGACTGAATAAAATTTTTTGAAGAGGTGAATAAATATATGACCTATCCTAAATGTACATGCCCACTATAATTTCCCACACTTTCAAAATGATTCATTTTTCAAAACAGTCTACCAAATATGGAGATACTGAGGAGGCTCTTTTGGGGAGGGGAGAGGGCGATTCTGTTAGGTTGGTGCAAAAATAATTATGATTTTTGTATTGTTGACTTTTGCTGTTTGATATTGTAATGTAATATCTTACATAAATGTGGTTACATATCATATTAATTGTGTTTCTCACTTTATGTTTCTTTGCTAATGACTTATTACTTGCTGCTTATTTTATATTTATTTTAGACTAGGAAAGTGACATTAAACAAAGAGCAAATAAAAAAAAATTGTCATTTTGAAGTGTCATCTTATTCTACAAAATAGCAATGAACCATTTCTCAATTGGATCGTGATGTGTGACAAAAAGTGGACTGTATACAACAACCGGTGATGACCAGCTCAGCGCCTGGACAGAAAAGCTCCAAAGCACTTCCCAAAGCCAAACTTGCACCGGAATAAGGTCATGGTCACAGTCTGGTGATCTGCAGCTGGCCTGATCCACTACAGTTTTCTGAATCCCGAGGAAGCTGTTACATCTGAGAAGTATGCAAAGCAAATTAGTGAGATGCACCAAAAACTGCAACACCTGCAGCCAACACTGGTCAACAGAATGGGCTCAATTCTGCACAACACCTAACTGCATTTTGCACAAAAAAAGGTTCAAAAGTTGAATGAATTGGGCTAGGAAGTTTTGCCTCATCTGCCATACTTACCTGACCTTTTGCCAACTGACTACCAGTTCTTCAATTATCTCAGCAACTTTTTGTGCGGAAAATGCTTCCACAACAGGCAGGAAACAGAAAATGCTTTCCAAGAGTTCGCTGAATCCTGAGGCACAGATTTTTACACTACAGGAATAAACAAACTTATTTCTCATGGGCAAAAATGTGTTGATTGTAATGGTTCCTATTTTGATTAATAAATATGTATTTGAGTCTAGTCATAATTATTTAAAATTCATGGTCTAAAACAGCAATTACTTTGCACCAACCTAATATAACATCAATCAAAACTGGAGGAAAAATTACAAATATTGAATCCTATTGTACACCTGCAACTAATTGATGCTATATACATCAATTATACCTAAAAAAAAGTTTTGTTTTGTTTGAGCCATTAAAAAAAGAGGAAAAAAGTGAATACAAAGAAAAAAAAAGTTAGAATTGGAAAAGTTCACAGTATTTTCTCTTTGGCTAATCATAGATAATACTGGAAAGTTCTTAGAAACGTACTTGTAACATTCAACCATAATTTTAATAACACTCAACCAAGACTTTTGTAACATACAGCCATGATTTCTTCAGAGCCAGCTAAAAGGAAAGGCTGAGGTAACATATAGAATTTTGACAGAGGGAAAAAAAAAAAAAAAAAAAAATCACACAATGACTCTTTTACTGTCTCTAGAGCAAGCGAGCAATGCACCTGAACTTAAAAATACCATCTAAAATATTATATCCATTCCCCTACTCTCTTTCTCCATTCTCCCCCTCCAAAAGAAAGAAAAGCACCTGCAGGTGTCAAATCTGAAAGTGACAGGTGCAAACATTACAGCTGAGGAAGTCATGTGTCCCCTCAGAGACTGTTACGAAGACAAAAAACAATAGGTCATTGGTCGGTACATTTTGCTAGGCTTCACGATTCATGCCAATTAAGGACACTGTGTGGACAACACAGCCTGATTTGCAAAAGCAAGAAAGAAAACTTACAATCTGTATATTTTCCCCCCAAAAGTCACAGCCAGCATTTTTAAAATACAGCAAAGAAAAAGAAGGGCAATGTGTCGAAGGAGGTTTGTTACTTAAGCAAAACCACAAATGAACTCAAACTCTTCTCTCAAGTGATGGCTAAGGGTGATTTAAACACAAAAGGTGACATGTGAAAAAGCATTGGCATGCTATAGAATTCCACTTCCTAAACTTAAACTTTAAAAAAAATTTTTTTAAAGAAGAGCACTGTTTTTTTATTTTCCTCCAAGCACCATATCAAGGTTGCAAAGGTCTTCAAATTCACAAAGGCACTGCTAGTAAGTTAACGGTGTTCATTGCTCATGCACACATACACACCTGGCCTGAAGAGGGAGATGATAGGTTATTTTTGTTTCCATTTAAAAATATATACATTTGATTAAATTCACCCTGTGTGATAGTGGAACCTGAAAACAGGGAATCAATTATGAGTTGTCCAACTTTGTTTGAGTGATTAAAAAAGTAATCTAGCAAATTTCTGCAAAGTCAGACCATAATCATTGCCCTATATTCTGGACAACAGAATATCCTTGCTACCATTCCCGCACTTTCCCCACCAAGCCCACAGCAAGCAGTCACTCTCTGCTGATCCTAGCCTCAAATTCAGAATCCCTAGAAGCCGCAACTGACTGGAACAGAATTGGCACAGAAAGAAAAAAACAAAAAGACAGTATGCCAATGTCAGGTACATTAAATCACAGGTGTTTACTGCCACTCACTTCTCTCTGGTCAACAACCACAAAACAAGAAAAACAAAATAATAAAGCCAAATTACACTTGTACATATGACTTACATTCCAAGGCATCATCCGAAATGGGATGTCACAACAAGAGGCTCTAAACATTGGCTGGGTATGCCAGTTCTGAAGGCATGGAAATACTTGTGTAATGTAGTATCCACAGACACCAGGGGAAAGGTCAAGTATAGAAATGTCCTATTTAATTCAAGTATTGAGTCTGATTCTCAGGTAAGACTTAAAATGTATCTGTTGTATGCTCATTTACCATATAAATTTGTCAAATGAAGATCTTAAATCACATACACATCCCAAGACAGAAATCTGGGTGTTAACTCTTACCGTCTCTAGGTCACACTTTTGACTGCTGCCAAACAAAGAACACAAGCTTTTGACTGAGTCATGGTAGCTTCCAGTGCAAACTTACTATATTCTTTGTAACTCAACTTATAAAATCAATTGTAAAACTAAACATAAATGACTAAATGTATCTCAAAACAAAATGGTTCCAAGTTGCACTGTCCACAGCAAAAAACCATGCATATAGAGCTGTCTACACACACACAAACACACACACAGGATTAAAGAAAAGCATTAGAAACCCCTGGATGGTCTTTCAAAAGGAAATGGCCTCATTCTAGCTACATAGAAAAAGCGGTTCTTTGCACAGAATTATTAAAAAGAAAATAAAGGAATTAGAATGTCAGGTCAAAAAGGGCAGAGGTCAGAATTATTCTGTCATAAAGAAGAAATACTTAACAAGATAAGTAGAGTCACCTCCTCCTCTATTGCCAGCTGCACCACATACATGTGCCACCATTTACTTACCCGCCTTGCTTTCAATGAGCTGATCTGAATGACTGCATAAAAGTCACTTACACTTACATAAAAGTCCATGTACAGAGGAAAGCTCTGGAGGACACACACCAGAAGAGTGGTTATCGCCGGGACAGTAGGGGGTGTCAAGGTAAACTTTCACTTTACTCACACTGTCTCAATGATTACTTTATATATATTCACAGTAATTGAACATATTTAAGTAAGTTAAATATGTTCAGTTACTACTTTAAAATGAATGAGATAGATGCGGGAAATGACACAGCTCTCCGAGTCTGAAGCTCAGAGTGCTGGGAGAGAGAAATGATAGCACTGACGGGGACTGAAGCGTTCTCCTAGAAGCCCGCCTCTTCATTACACCTAAGTATTCTTCATTATCTTCATTCCTAACTGTTGCGTCTCATCCAAAATGACCAGCTCTGCCTACTAACACCAAGAGAGGGTGGGAAAGAAAAGAGTGTGTGGGCACAGCTCCTGACAGCTAGTGATCCTTTCACACTGTTCTCTCTCCTTTCTTCCTAACTGTCCCCAAATCTAGCAATACACTTTACAATGAGATTCAAGTGAGTGAAACAGTTTTTGTGACAGCTTTCAAAAGTATAGCTATCAACAATATCCTCCTCTCACTCTGGACACTAGGAAGGAAATTCATTGCAGTCATACATTTTATTCACCTTTGGTGTTCTGAATATAGTACCCCTTACTGATGTTGGCTCAGTGGTAAACAATCCTCAAGCAGGAGATGTGGGTTCGATCCCTGGGTCAGGAAGATCACCTGGAGAAGGAAATGGCAACCCACCCCAGTATTCTTGCCTGGGAAATCCTATGGACAGAGGAGCCTGGTGGGCTACAGTCCATGGAGTTGCAAAAGACTCAGACACGACTTAGCCACTAAGTAACAACTGATGTTAAAGGAATTGCTAAGTTTGTTACTATTCCTGTGCATTAATTCATTTATCTATCAAAATTAATCAAAATGTAATCCTCCCTTCCATAAATTCTGGATTTCATAAATTCTGGATTAGTTCTTTGTTCAGCAACTAACCTTAGTCCAGCAGCATATGAACTAAAACACTCAATGAAGGGGTAATTTAAACACTTGGGTGTTTCAGGATATAGAAACAAAATATTTATCATTCCAGTCAATCCCATGTGAGTTAATCCTGGTTCTGTTTCTCCTGGTTGCTCCTGTATCCTTGTACTTTAATATCTTTGTTATGAAGTGAAAATGAGGTAAAGCTACTGGCATGTTAAGTGTTTCCATTTCCAAAGAGATCAACAGCAGACTATCTGAGGGAAGGAGCACATTATAGGACACAAAGGGGAAATGCCATCCTGTGAAAATATACTACAGTAGCTGCTGTATTTGGAAAAGAGGGAGCATAAGGGCTCTGAAGATGTAGACATTAAAGTTCCAGAGATGAAATATCAAGGCAAATAATAAGGGGACACAATAAAGAAATGATACTCACATCTAGGGACGGGGAAATGCCAGCATCAAGCTGTAACAGCAGACACTGTTTGACACTGGCCATGGCTGTTTCATCTATCCTACCAGAGTCATCCTGGTAATATATGTAAAGAGGTTTATTCACACTCAGCAACTGACCATCCTTTCTGTAGAAAAATTTCTAGCATCTCTAGTGGTACTGATAGTTACAGTCATTTGTCCCAACCCTGAGACTACTTTAGTGAGAGAGAATGCAAACCTCCTTAGAAAAAAAAATTCCCTTCCCCAATATAGGCAACTCATTATCTGTAAGAAGAGTAATGTGAGCACTACACACATTTCACCTCTAAGAATTATAATTCAGTTTTATCATATACACTCTTAATCCAGACACAGAGGCAATATTTACAATAATTGAGTAAATGCAGATATTCTGCTTCATATAAGTTCATAACATTTTCTGAAAAGTATATAAACATTCACTAGGTGATAGGTGCAGTGACTAGAGTCCACTGTTTATTTCTATATATATTCAAAGAGTATCTCATCTACTGGCTATAAGGCATATAAACATCAACTCCATAATTTTCTTTCTATACTTCATATTTAGATGACTAAAATAAAACACAATACAGGGGTCTCCCTCTCAGGCCAGAGGTTAAAACTCCAAGTTTCCAGTGCAGGGAGTTTGGTTTCAATCCCTGGTCAGGGAACTAAGTTTCCACATGCCTCACAGTGTGTTAAAAAAAAAACCACACACACAACACAATACCAGTAAAGCTTAAAAAGCACATCAAAATTGCTATTATATGTTTTAAAAACAGTAACTATTACTGATTGAATTTTTAAGGCTTTCATGTGTCTTAGATAACATTTAATACTTGAACATTTCATATGAAGTCTAGTTAAATGTAAGGTAATATCAAACACTAGATTTTCCCATATACCAATAATTTTTCCTTTGGTGAAAACATCTTTATTCAAGTCTAAACGGATTATTGAATTAAGAGTGACAGTAATAATGGTGACAATATTAATAGCTAATACTTATTAACACACACTATGTGTCAGGCACTGTTCTAAGTACTTATACATATTGACTGTTCTAATCCTCATAATAACCCTATGAGGTAGGTTGTACAGTAAAACCACATTAACTGAAAATCATTACAGTGTGGAAAGAAGAATTACAGAATAATATTAAGAAATTTTACTTTCTACACATTACTATGATTTCAGCCTAGACTTCCAGTTAAATATGGTAGACTGATCAACTTGTCAGAACAGACTACATAGGTATGAGATTTCAACAAAGTTTAATAAAAATAAAAACCAGGAAGGGATGTGATAACTAACCAAGCAGAGTAGAGGAAGTTAAAACCTTCTGTACACAGAAGGAAGGAGCCAACAAATACACTCAACCAAACACCTAGCACGCTCAGGACTTGGAAGTAACAGCTACTGCAGAAAAAGGGCATTAGGTTTAGGGCTGAAATCAGGACTAGACGTCTGTTGAAAACAGCAACTGGACCCTAAGTCCTCTCCCCACTCTCCACAGCCAGACAACCCACTCACCCCAAACTCTATCCACGGGAGGAACTGAACCTGAGGGTTACGAAACACAGAAGATGACTGAAGTGGGCAGGGCAGGGCATAGAAAAGCTGAAAATAGAAAGATTTTAAAGTAAACGCCACCATAAAAACTATAAGGTCCTCAGCCTTTTCTTCATATCCTGCTGCTAGAAACCAGGAATCCTTCCTAGAGAAAATGAACAGCTCCCAAAAAAAGACCTAACTCTGAAATTTAGGGAACTCCAAGAAAAAAGGCCAGCTCTCTGCCTAAAAGCAGACAACTGATAAACCCAGCCCACAAATAAAGAAACATAAAGTTAGCTTTTTAGTACCTTAGTAAGAATTCTTAGTAAGAATGGATGACTCTTCCAACTTTCTGAGAGCCTTCAGAATGGAAGACACAATCTAAAACGAATACGATGGGAAACAATGCAGGAAATAAGACATGAGGAAAAAAACCATAATCGTCCTCATGAAAATGCAACAGACAAAAAAGATACCTTAGAAATTAAAAGATACAGCTAAAAAAACACTTCAACAGAAGAGCTAGATGAATAGAAAAAGGACAATTACAATATAACTTAGGAAAGATTTTTAAAATTAAAGGCCCAATCTGGGAGGTTCAACATTCAAATAACAGGAATTCTACTAAAAGATTATTAAAATTATCAAGAAGATAACACAAAAAACTTCCCTCCAGAAATGAAGTCGACAAGTCTACAAATTTAAAGTTAAGTACTATAAGGTTAAGTACCCATCAACAAGAATGAATAGAGATCCGTACATCCTCATGAAATGCAGGGGGTAAAGAGATGCTCTTAAAAGCTTCTAGAGTGTAAAAACAGGTCCTGAATAAAAGAATGGTTCAAGAATTTTCACAGGCATCATGAAGGCTTTAAGACAATGGAGCACTGCCTTCAACATTCTAAAAGAAAATTTATTTTCAACACAGACTCCAAACTACCAATCAAGAGAAGAGACATTTTTAGACCTGTAAAGCTTCAAAATCTTTGCCTCTCATCCACCATTCCCCAGGAAGCTTTTGGTAGTGGATATGCTTTGCAAAAAAAAGTAAAGCAAATCTCAATAATGATCCAATAAACAAGAGATCCAACATGAGACTGAAAAACAAAATGATCCCAGAATGACCACCAAGTCATACACAGGTCTGGAGGGCAATTGTCCAGACGGTAGAGGATGAAGGACTGTGGAAACAATGTCCCCATGGGGAAAAGAAAAAAAAGAATCGATAGATCATCTGATTTTTTTTTTAAGCCTTTGAATAATCACTGTAACATATACATAAAAAAAACTAAGCAAATTTTAAAATCAGGCAGTTATTAATTAAAGGAAAAATAAGGTTCTAGTAGAAAGGAACCAGAGATCAAATTGTCAACATCCGTTGGATCATTGAAAAAGCAAGAGAGTTCCAGAAAAACACCTACTTCCGCTTTACTGACTATGCCAAAGCCTCTGTGTGGATCACAACAAACCGTGGAAAATTCTGAAAGAGATGGGAATACCAGACCACCTGACCTGCCTCCTGAGAATCTGTATCCAGGTCAAGAAGCAACAATTAGAATTGGACATGGAACTACAGACTGCTTCCAAATCAAGAAAGGAGTACATCAAAGCTGCATAGTGTCACCCTGCTTATTTAACTTAAATGCAGAGTACATCATGTGAAATGCTGGGCTGGATGAAGCACAAGCTGGAATCCAAGATTGCTGGGAGAAATATCAATAACCTCAGATATGCAGATGACACCATCCTTATGGCAGATAGTGAAGAAGAACTAAAGAGCCTCTTGTTGAAAGTGAAAGAGGAGGGTGAAAAAGTCGGCTTAAAACTTAATATTCAGAAAACTAAGATCATGGCATCTGGTCCCATCACTTCATGGGAAATAGGTGGGGAAACAGTAGGAACAGTGACAGACTTTATTTTTTGGGGCTCCAAAATCACTGCAGATGGTGACTGCAGCCAGGAAATTAAAAGAAGCTTGCTCCTTGGAAGAGAAGTTATGACCAACCTAGACAGCATATTAAAAAGTAGACATTACTGTGCCCACAAAGGTTGGTCTAGTCAAGGCTATGGTTTTTCCAATAGTCATGTGAGAGTCATGTGAGAGTTGGACTATAAAGAAAGCTAGGCACTGAAGAATTGATGCTTTTGAACTGTGGTGTTGTAGAAGACTCTTAAGAGTCCCTTGGACTGCAAGGAGATCCAACCCGTCCATCCTAAAGGAGATAAGTCCTGGGTGTTCATTGGAAGGACTGATGCTAAAGCTGAAACTTCAATACTTTGGCCACCTCATGTGAAGAACTGACTCAATTAAAAAGACCCTGATGCTGGGAAAGACTGAGGGCAGGAGGAAAAGGGGACAATGGAAGATGAGATGGTTGGGTGGCATCACCGACTCAATGGACATGAGTTTGAGTAAACTCCAGGAGTTGGTGATGGACTGGGAGGCCTGGTGTGCTGCAGTTCATGGGGTTGCAAAGAGTCGGACATGATTGAGCAACTGAACTGAACTGAACTGAGTAGAAAGTAAATAATGATAGGAAAAATTGATAATGATCAATAAACAATATTTATATCCATTGATTTAACAAACAGTTGTGATTAATCTACACTGGGGGTATAGGGGAGGTGAGGATATAAGCAAAGTAATCCTGCCTGCCATAAAAGGAATTTAAAAAATCATTTCAAAAATTGACAAATCAAGAAAGAGTAATAAAACGTATTTTAAAATAGGAAGGTAAATACTAGAATCAACCACTGAGAGCTACAAGTACTTGCCTCTAGAGCACTAAGAGGAGGAATTACTCCTTTTCACTACAAGCCTTCTGGCTTCTATTTGATTTTTTTAACTATGTGCATGAATTACTTAAAAAACAAAAAAGCTAATTAAAAAAAAATTCAAATTTACAAACTCAGTATGAATTCAAAGAAAGGAGGATTGTGGAAGTGGAGAAGGAAGCCTTATCATGAGAAGGAAGCCTTATCTACCAGGTCCACTTACTTACCTGATCAGAGCTATTCAGAGAGACCTCCTCCAAGGAGCTCCTGCAGCCCGACCATGCTTTTTTATAGGACAGGATATACTCTCTGCACCAAGCTGGTAGGAGCAAGGTTCAAAGGACAGACCAAGAGGCACTTCATGTAATAAGTCAAGAATCGGTAGAGTCCAAATTAATAATACTATAACATGCATGGAGTCACATATTACAAGACTGTATTTCCTGAGATCTTATGATAACTTCTAAACACTAATTATAATAACATATAGTGAAAACCTACAATTCAAGGTGAAAGGTTCCATGGAGATTGTCAAAATGAAGACCTCTTGCCTTAGAATTTAAGTTTAAATAGCATCCATTTCTGGACTTGTCCTGATTGAAGATAATACAAGAATTCAGTGTAATATAACAAAGTTCAAAGTTGGTCCACTTACAAAAGAACTCTCATCAAAGTTGTTTTAAGCATAGAAGCCACAACAGAAAGCAAGCACTGGTTCTGCTTAGATCACTGATATACCAAGAGTCTCCAAATTTCTCAACCCCAAGGCCTAGATAAAGTAAAACAAGAACAACCAATAATTAGACACTACAAAAATCATCACAAACTAAAATTCTTATGAAATTTTTCTTATTTGGTTCATCTTTTTCTTAAGATTCAGAAAAGTCAGGCACCCTTGAAAATACACTGGGCTCCTCAAAATGCAAGGTTCCCTGAAGCTTTGCTTCATGATACCAACTTACTGGTCAAAACCTATGTAATTCCAGATACATTGATATTCCCTAAAAAAAAAAAAAAAAAAAAGATTTCACAAATGAGTTGATTCCAGTCACAATAAAATCCATATTTAGGAATATAGCAAACTTGTTCAAAGCACCTGCTTCAAGGAGAAAAAAATGATATGAGTCAGAAATAACTGTATTTTATTTTTAAAAATATTTACAGAAAACTGTTCAGGAACTCATATTTTTGGATAAAGCAATAGAAAATGGATTTATTTTCCATGAGTTCAAAAGCTTTGTTATAGTGTTTCCATTATAAACCTATTGATTTAAAAAAAAAAAAAAAACTACTAGAAAAACTCCCACAGTCAGTAGTAGCACCTTGATCTCCATGGTCTTATCACTACTCATGCCTATTACAAAAAATAAAAAAAGAAGCCAAAAACCTGATAACTCACTCAACATGAAAACTTACTATATTATCCAACTTCTTTTTTCTCAAACTAGACATATGAAGTACAACATAAGCAGAAAAAGATTCCTCCTAATATAGTCTAATGACCTGTGTGCTATTTAAAATTTCAAGTACTTTAAGTAGCATACAGTTTATCTAAATGGATATTAATGTGTATAGATTGTTTATGTCCATTTTAAACTTAAGAAAGCCGATAACTACAGACTTATTTTAATAAGGAAATAACAAATATTTTTTTAATTTGTTTAAAAAATATTTTAAACAAATCTTTTAAAACAATTCCCACATAAACTTACAAGAGAAATTTAAAATGAAATAGGACATAACATTCTAAGCTCACAGGCAAAAAAGCTAAAAATATGCCTTACTTGTATATTTACTATGAGGTCTAAATATACAAACAAAATCAAAGCAGTAAAGAATATTATTACCATTTGATAAAGATTAGACAAACTATCAATAAATGTAAAAAATACAATGTATTATATGATGAGTTTGAATGCAAAAATCACATATTTATTAAACATATGATTAACTTAAAAACACCAAACCAGTTTGTTTTAAAGTGCTCCTCATCTAAAACCTTGGACAAAACCGTCACTCCAAAGTGAATGGAAAAACAGTTTACAAGGCAAACACTGACGGCATGGACAGGCACTACCAAAAAAGGCTATTTGTTCTTTAAATAATGCCATTCTCAAGTTACATAGGGCAGTCGCCTTGACAGATTCCTTTTTTATAAATATTTATAAATTTAAAAAGTCTAGATATTCTAAAGAGCTGCAAATATCAATACCTTATAACAGTAGCTTAATAATATCTATTCTGGGAAAAAAGCACTAAAATCCTCTTCCATTGCAAGTCATTTATTTCTCTGGTGAAGTGAGCAAGGTCCCTACAGACATTAACTTCTTTCTATGACAATGTAAATAACAATATACACACATCTTAAATTTGGTAGGTCATAAAAGTTAGGATGCAATCTTTTTTTTTTGATGCAACAGAAAAATAAATAAGTGAAAATTAAATAGTTTAACACAACATTTGGTATTGATAAATCAGTAGTGTCAACTTCATATATGAAGGACAGCACAGTCTGGTTTTTTAAAAATCCTCAATGTCATAGTATTTGGGGTAAAAATATCTCGAATATTAAATGTTTCCTTTTTGCTTAAAGGAATATAATACAAACACCATCAAGCTGCAACCATAACTCATTTCAGCTGGGGTAAAGTGACCATTTGGTCCATGGCACAAGTTACATATATCACACTTCTGTCAAACTGAAACCTTAGGTTTATAAGATTTCATGTTTATAAGCTACAATACACACTGACTAAGCTGTCAGTCCCTCACAGTTTTTTAGAAAAATATCTACATTTGTCCTCATGGATGTCAAAATGTTACACCATTATTTGTTTAAAAAAAAAAAAAGAAAAAAACAGATGCACATTCATACTGTGAAGTTATTAGGAAAATACTCTTGCAAATAAACTATATAAAGATAAAATACACTTCAAAGGTATGTGGGTTTGTTTTTTTGTTTTACAATATTCTATAAAGTGCAGAGAAATCCTAAGGGAAAAACTACTCCCTATAACATAGTTTAATTACAGCAGCTTTTGCATAGCAATACTTAGCGGAAGTTAGACACTTCCGTTTCCTCAGGAAGAGAAGGATAGAAGAGGATCTTCTGATTCAGATTTTTTTTTGGCCGTAAATCTGCTTTCTTCAGGAATTGTTGCTGACGCCAAGTCTCCATTAAGTGTATTTCTTGAACAGTGGACAGGTCCTATTAAGAAATTGATTAAAAAGTTAAACGTCCTACCAGTATAACTCCTGTCCTCTGTGAAATAACATTTTCTATTCAGGGACATAAAATCCCTGTAGCTTCCTGCTAAGCTTTTGATGGTTTGCTTAAAAGAGTAAAAATCTAACTTTTATAATACTGGCAGTTGTAAGGAGAAACCGAAAAATTCATAAGAAGTTATGAAACTATCTGAAGTAGTAGAGATACTTGTTTTGTTCATTGCTAGAACCAAGGTTCACACATAATGGAGTAATCAATAAGGATTTGCTGAATTTGAATTTAGTCCTAATTAACTATTGCTTTTTCAGCCTTATCGTTAATGCTGTTGGCATCCTCCTGATTTTCTAGGTGAAGAAACCAAGTTCTGAAAAGACCACAGGCCTAACTCAAGATCACACAGTTGGTAACAACAGAACAAGGACTAACTCAGGTCTTGGTCTTTTCTTCACAAGGCTTTGTTTTCCTTAATGGTTTGCTTTTATTGGCGTATAGTTGATTTATCATGTTTTGTTAGTTTCAGGTATTCAGCAAAGCATCACAAGACTTTCTGAGCAAGGCTGACTAGGTACCTCACACTGAGTTCTCACAGCTCCATTTGGGATGCAGCTCACAACACTGGTACTGCAGCTGCAAGCGAGCACAGGAAACACACTGGCATGGCCTGTGCATCTTCACATGAACATATTTTTAATTTAACATAAAATTTATAAATTTTTAAAAATCTCGTTAATAAGAAGTAGCTGCATCTCTCAAAGGAAAGTATGTGGCGACATAAAGACTTTCAACTAAGACTGTCAATCTGCCCAGTATACTTTCTAAAAAGTGCAAGTCGCTCAGTCGCATCCAACTCTTTGCAACCCCACAGACCATGCAGTCCATGGAATTCTCCAGGTCAGAGTACTAGAGTGGGCAGCCATTCCCTTCTCTAGGGGATCTTCCCAACCTGGGGACTGAACCCAGGTCTCCCACGTTGCGGGCAGATTCTTTACAGCTGAGCCACAAGGGAAGCCCAAGAATCCTGGAGTGGGTAGCCTATCTCTTCTCCGGGGGACCTTCTGGACCCAAGAATCGAATCTGGGTCTCCTGCGTTGCAGGCAGATTCTCTGCCAACTGACTATCAGGGAAGCCCACACTTTCTAAGAAACAGAACTAACACATGCTTTGTATTAGTCTCTGCTTTGTCAGCTAACTGGGACACTAAATTTTAGGGTAAAAAGAAGGAAATCTAAGGCTAAAATTGACCTATCCTATACTTGCCAACTTTAAAAAGTTTTAAAGAGTTGAGATATATGTATGTATACAAAGATTAATGCATGTGCATATAAATATTAATGCAGGTATGTGTGTGGGTTTGCACACACGGGTGTATAATTTTGTTTCACTCCTTAACAGCTAAATTGTTAAATGGAATAAGCCATTTACACCTAGATCTTATGAAAACAGTTTTCAACAATTCAGAACTAGAGGTTCTAAAAGAAAAGACAGCTAAGAAAAATGGCTGGCTTAAAAAATTAATTTAGCTATCACAAGTGAAAATGACACCCTTAAAAAAGAGAAATGGCATTAAAAAAAAAGTACAAGGCAGTACAAAACTGTTTCATAAGCTCTAGATGAAGGGTCGTGTATTTTTAAAGGCAGAAAGAGGAAGGTAAATCGCAATGTATATAACTTGCCTCAGGTGACATTTTTTCCCCATACTTAACCTCTTTAACCATCTCCCTCTTTCTCATCATTTCGAAGATGTATTAAACTGGTCTAGGAAAGGTTCTTTCTCCCATACCCTTCCCCTACTCAATCCGTTTCCTTCTTTCATTTATTCACTTGGTGCCCCAACTTAAATTCAAAATGATAATGAGTACATAGTAGTGTTCTACATCAATAAATAGATTAATTCTGTAAGAAAAATGGGAATTAAGGAAAAAAGATGCTAACAACTTCTTGAGATCTCAGAGTGAGCAGCAGTTCCTTGTAAAATCTCAACCATCTTCATCAAATTCACTTTCCCCTCTAATTAAATCTGTTTAATGTTCTGATTAAGTCAAACAACTCTATGTTAATGAATGTTTTCAATATAATCAAATACTAGAAATCCAACACCATTGTTTCATCTCATTTCAGCCACGCTATAAATTAGCTGGGCTTCTCTATGCAGTCTAAAGAATCTAACTACCATTCACCATTTCATTTCCATAAGGGAAATAAAATCTTGTTCCAAGCAGCTGACTTAAAAATAAACCCTTGGAACACAACCTTTTCCTTAATTGAGAATAGTATGTAATTTCTACCCCACATGTTTCATGGAAAAATAGTAAAGACTTTGGAAAGTAAAAGTCTATTAATGGAGTTGTAATAATTATACCATATTTGCATTCACTGGAAATCACGGTCACTACTGTCTAAGTACATATTCTGACAGACTTTCAAAGCTTCTCCTCCAAAGAAAAAGATAATTAAATTTAACATAAATCACAAAATCTTTCCTGTTCAATCACAGTATACTGTCTCTTTAATAATAAGGAAGAAAAAAGCACAGGAATAAATGTTAGCATAATTCACCATCACCACCAGAAAAAAATTGTTTACCTTGGCCATTTCAAATTATTTAAGTAACAATGCTGATTTATTTTTCTCTGAACTTAGAACTTGACTTTATTTTTCCCTAGAATCCAACTCACAATTTATGCTTCCTTCTAAAATGTTTTTTAAATGCAAATATAGTGGCAATATAAGATTACTAAGAAATTACTAAAATGCAATGGGAGTAAAAGTGTTGATATTACATATGTAAATCTAAGATACGGCATTTACAAAGAGGTATTTAGTACTTCTTAGTACTGACCCTATTCACTGCCAGTATTCTTCATTTCAACAATCACAGAGCCCCACACCTATTGTGCTGAACAGGCCAAAGGGAGAGTCATACCCTTTCTCACTTACTATCTGGGTCTTCAAGAGGAACATCATTACAAGAGTCTGTATCTGAGTAGGTTCTTCGGCGTCGCTGGGAGAATCGGTGAAGTGAAGACACTGGTTCTTTTATAGAGTGGCTACTCCTGTAAATTAAATAAAAAGATTTAAGGACTTCCAACAAAGGAAAACACCCTCAATTTAACTGCAGTTTTCAATGACTTCTCTTTAAATGAAAGAGGAACTTTTTATACTCAAAAGTAAAATTTCAGCAACATTCTACTCCTTCAGAGGTCAGACCATAAACAAGTCAAATCATTTAGAATCTAGCTGTTAAGCTGGGGAATACAGCCTCTGAGCCAAACTGAAAGGAAAAGAGGTACAATGAAGTGACTTCTTTTACAGAGGAAGGTCCAGCGAGGGAGTAACATGTCTTATGGTTAACAAGTATTTGAAAACTAACAGTTACAGACTTCACAAGTGTATGTATATGGTGGCACCCATATCCAATCTCAAACAGCAGAGCAAAGGGGATGGGCCAGCAGTATGGGAGTGTGCTCGGAGCCAACTCACTCACAGTAGTAAGAGTGGATAAACACAGCAAGTGAAGGCTGGAAAAACTAGTTTTCACAAATCAATTTGGAAAACCAGAAAACTAGAAAAATCAAACTAAAAAATTCAACACAGAAGCAAATCACCACCACTCAATAGCACTATCACTGGATGACAGCCCAACATTACTGTTTGTAATGACAAACTTGATTCACCAAGAAAAAATAAAAGTTTAAAGACTCATATTGTATATTTAATAGGGCAAAATGGATAAGATACAGGTCAAAAAATTCAATCATAAAAATAAAAATTTGAAAAAAATAAAACTTTGTTAAAGGAATCAAGCTTTTATTCTTCTGGAAAATTCAGTTGGTGAAATATTTCGTTCCCTGATAGAATTAGATACAACATTGGACTCCTATGAGCACACAATAGTTCAATCAATTACATAATCATGAGAGGGGGGAAAAAATAGTGACAAAATAATAAGGGGTCTCAGCATTTATTTTTTTTTTTGGTAGCACTCAATAGACATTTACTGAAAGATTCATTAAATTCTATAGTACTTTACAAATTTCTAAAGTTTCACATACATGATTTCATATAATCCTGTAATAACCACTTTTTGCCTCTACCCCATATTCATGTAGAGACATAAATGCTAATATCACTATAATTTCATCACTTTTCAAAGAACCAATAAGACAACCATAGCAACTCAAAAGAATATTATCTGCTAGGATAAATAGCATGGGATATACTGGCAAGATCAAAAAGGTAAATTTTTTAAATGTGCTGATATGAATATATACTTTAAAATATCAATTCCTTTTTCTCTGTTTTCAGTAATAGCCTTAGCTCCAAATAAAACAGCTCAGAACAAACATATGATTCTATAATAAACTATAGTACAATAAGCCTAAGCTTGGAGCCTTAATACATTGAAAATGGACTTCTATTTACCATCACTTGTTATAATTTACAGCTTAAAAAATGATAGCTGGCAAGTTGCTTACCTTACTGGCTATTTTATTCACTCATTATTTTTCTTTACCATCTAGTGGGGCCAGGCTCTATACTAAGCAGTAAGAGAAACAATGATGAGCAAAGCAGAACAAGACTCTGCCCATACAGAGTTGACATTCCATTTTATGAAAGACAAAAAAATTTCCCTAGGTAGGTAGAATTTTGAGAGAATTTGGTCAAAAGAAAAGGTTTTTTTACCTCTCTGTACTGCAAGAACCAGGATGGCTGACAGAACGCTTCATCTAGAAATTTTAAAAGAAAATAAACTTAATTATAGGTCAAGTAGAATAAGAGAGCTCTAATATATTATTATGGTGATGATAATTAACATAAATTTACTCAAAGAAAAGATAGCTGACCCCCAAAATTTGTTTTTTACAGACTCAAGTAACATTAGCACAATATAAAGCTTTCTCCCTAGTAACTAATAACTGAAATCTTTCTCAAAGCATACAAAAACATGCTCGATTATTTTCTCCATATTAAAAGCCAAATTTTATTTTATATATGTATCTAGGTGGCATCAGTGGTAAAGAACCCGCCTGCCAATGCAGCAGACATAATAGACATGGGTTCAATCCCTGGATCAGGAAGATTCCCTGGAGGAGGGTACGGCAACCCACTTCAGTATTCTTGCCTGGAGAATCCCATGGAGAGAGGAGCCTGGCTGGCTACGGTCCCTACGGTTGCAAAAACTCGGACACAAATGAAGCAACTTAGCATGCATGCACACACACACACACATATAAGTATATATAAAACAATATACCTAGCTAGCCCCCTCAAAAAAATATCACACTATTTGTGATGAAAAGAAGTATTTAGAAAGTCAGAAAACAGTCTAATAAATGTCTCTCTCTGTCTCTTTTTTTAAAAGGCAGAGCTTCTCCTTGCCATTCATTATTCAGGTAGCTATTACACAGCTGTTCGAGTGTGGGTGGTTTTCATGGAAAACAGCATTAATAATTCAAGTCTTTTAAGAAATCAGAAGAGAAACTCTAAGCCTCAACTAGGTTTCTAAAATCATATAGTTAAAATATAAATAAATAAAATCTGATTCATCAGAAAGTTACTATGAAAAATACAAAATATAATTTAGAAAATCTAACTACTCCACTAAAAAGACAGAGGCAGCTAAGTAGATTATTTCAAGGTATATTAATTTAAGGTATTATTTTAGCGAGGTAGCAAAAAAGCAAAGTTCTTATTTAAACTAAGGATGGTTGCTTTAAAAACAATACG